TTTTTTTTTTTTTTTTTTTTTTTTTTTTTTTTTTTTTTTTTTTTTTTTTTTTTTTTTTTTTTTTTTTTTTTTGATGCAGACTGATTTAGCTCAAACAACGGAAGCAAAACAAATGAACAGACCGTTTTTCCAAGCCTTGAGCATTGAACCGAAAAGATGTGGGCCTATCTAAGGACATGTATGTTGAAATAGGTCATTATTTTTTCATTCTTAGAATTTTTGTTGCATTAGCCTACTACAAAAGAAAAAATCATCTATCTTTTTTTTGTTCACTTTACTTTCTCGTTTTAGCCATCTGTTTTTTTTTCGCTTTTTGTTTTGCTATGTTTCTCTTCTGATTTCTGTATTTATACCGTTTTTTCAAAATCAAATCATCAAATCACTTTCCATTGTTTTATAAAGTTTCTGGAACTTGGTCGAATCTTGAAGGTAGTCTCTTCTCTTGTTATTAGACTTAGACTTAGACTGAAAAACAAAGCAGCGAAGCAATGAGTATGAGTTCTCTCAAAAAAGCATCCTCCGTCCTCCGTATCATTTCGTTGATCGAAGTCCATGGCCTATTTTTGGTTCACGGGAGCTTTGGCAAGTACCACCATTGGTGGTGTTATTTATGCACATGCATTCTTATACAGGAGTAATGCTGTGCCTTAGTTTAGGTTTAGGAATGATTTTGTATACCATGTTTCTATGCGGCGTGATGTAATACGTGAATCCACCTACGAAGTATATCGTACATCCGTTGTTCAAGTGGGACTTCGTTCCTTATCGAGGTTGTTTCGGACGTATCCTTCCTACTATACTGCTATGAAGTTATGAACTCATCCATCGTAATCCTGGTAGGTAATATGACTCCGGGAGCGACACTCACGATCGACTGGTTCTCAAAATTGAGTCAGCAATTACAAGCGGGTAAATTTGAGCCACAAGCGTGGCCTTATCTTATCGTACAGAAAGCCCTCACCGTGGTGCTGGACGGCATATACGATCCGGACGGAACCCCTAGGAATCTTGGTCCTCCGAATTCTCACACGGAGGAACAATCCAAGATTCGGGGCAATCAGCAGGAAACCAAAGTTGTAATTCAATTGTCATGTGACGTTGAATATTTGGAATCGTTGATTACAACGAGCGAGTAGGATCCGCACAGGCTCCATACTTATCTTGAAATTAGGATTTAGTCATGATATGAAACTTCAAGCTCCGCCCTCGGTTCGTGTGTTTTGCTTAAGACCTACCCTAATTTGTTGTACTGGAATTGACCGGCAATTTGCGGCAAAAGGTCACACAATTTGCTGCCAGAATCAAACGTCGTAAGCCTCCTGGCCCGAAATTCTTCATAGCGAGCGCTCCTTAGTAGGTTATGAATATCGGTGCATGTCAAAGCAGAGGCCTCAGAAGTCTGGTCTGGCTAGCGCCCTGCGTAGTCCCATTCGTCGAGCCGCTCGAGCATACAACACACGAAGAAGTGTCGGTAAAAGCAGGGAGCAACACAAGGCGTGTTCTTTTGCTGCCACGGCCCACGTGTTTTTTTTTTTTTTTTTTTTTGGGAGTCCCTTCCGGCGTGAGTATGCTCCAACATGGATGGATGGGTGCTTTCTCTTGTGCCTTCTCATCTCCTGTCCAGTTGGAGTTAGAAAAAAATTCAAAAAAGGTTCAAACGACATTTTTGCCTCGTTTGCCGTTCTATGTGCTTTCAGGTGCAGGGGTGAAGGTCACAGTGGCAGTCGCAGCAGCAGCAGGGGCAGGTGTGGGGACCACCATCTACAACCGATACTTGTCGTCAGGCGTAAGTTTCACTGAAACGAAAAAACCTGTGCTTAGCTCGTTCGTTGTGGGTCTCCTCCGTCTATCACGGAAACCGATACTTAATATCTTTTTCAGGTGTGGGGACCACCATCTCCAGCAGGGGCAGGTGTGGGGACCACCATCACGGAAACGTTGTCAGGCCTAAGTTTCACTGAACCGAAACGGTGTGGGGACCACCTTCTCCCTCCCTGTACTTCTTCCCAGTTCTTTCACACTGTATGCGTAAACCGCCACTGCCCCAGCACCTATGTTAATGACTCTATTGTTTTGTTTTGTTTTTCCCCCTCTCCTGGGGCCAGCAGGATTTGAACCCATACCCTGCCCCATGTACTTGTTGCACTTTTTTCACGTCCTCCGTTGGTGTCGTGCTTTTCCGGATCTGAACCTGGATCCAAACAAGGCAAGAAGAGTGGTTTGGTGTACTTTGCTGTTGGGAAGCTGGCCAGTTTTGAACCCTGCACCACCTGTGTGTAGAGCCTCTGCTAGCCGACCGTCTTCACCGGAATAGAACGCCCGGGCATTATAGCCGTATCTGGTGCACTTTTCAGTCCAGATACAGCTATAATAACCGGGCGTTCTATTCGGGTGAAGACGGTAGCGTAGTAGGAGCCGTGGGAAGCCAGGAGATGGTAATTCTGTTCGCAGAGCTGACCTTTTTGGAGGGCCTAACTCTGCCACCCTCATCTCATTTTGTTGTTAGACCTGCGTAGGGGCAGTTGTAGGAGGATGTGAGGCGGTTGGTGTTTTCCGTTCAGAACTCGATTGCGGCATGTTTTGCTGCTTGGTGGAACTGGAAGTGTCCTCAATTTATTTCCAACTGGCAGCAACGGACCCGTTAGTTCCACCTGGATCTAACGGGCCCGTTGGTTCCAGGTGGAACTAATGGGGCCATTGGTTCCAGGTGGAACTAACAAACCGGTCGGTTCCAGGTGGAACTAATGGGCCCATTGGTTCCAGGTGGAACTAATGGGCCTGTCGGTTCCAGGTGGAACCAATGGGCCCAGCTCACCGGGCCCAGCTCAGTTGGTACACGCCCATGAACTGTTGAAATACAGACCCAAGTTGGAATCCAGATGCAATCAGATGGACAGAATAAAATATTTGTGAATTACCTTGGCCGGTCAGCCCAATGAAGATACCTCAAGGCTGTTACTCTTTTTTCAAAAAAAATAAAATAATAATAAAAATTAAAATTAAAAAAAATCGTGCTGGAAGCAGGGTAAGCATATCACCCGCCGTTGAGTTTTGAACCCGGGACCTGTATCTAGAGCCTCTGCTAGCCTACCTTCTTCCCCTGAACATAACACGTGTTATAAACGAATATAACGCATAGGGTGCGGTCCATTTGAATGGCCCTAATTTTCGAATACAACGCATATTCGTTCAATTCAATTTTTTTGAATTTTCTGAAAACTCGAATACAACGCATATGCATTATGTTCGGGCGAAGCAGGTAGTGTAGAAGTAGCACCCTTCCGCGCCAGTAGATTTTGGATTGCGTTACTCGGAAAAATTTTGGAAAGTCACGGTGGCTCTCATGCGTCTAGCATCCAACATCTACAACAACCTGGGCTTTAACCAAAAAACAGAGTCGCCGAAAGTTATTGGGAGACTCAGTAGGCCCGAGACAGGGTGCAGGTCGTCGAAAGTGATGAACGGGCTCGGCATGGTTTGCTGCTTGGTGCAATCGGAGGTGCGCTAAATTTTTAGCGCTGGAAGCAGAGTCGCCGCGTATCAGCCGAGGGCCAAAGCCAACCGCCGACCAATCGACAGCCAACCTGTCAGCAGCAGCCCATGGCTGAGTATTTTTTGGAAAACAGAAGGCAGGGGCGTCCCGCACATGCCCAAAACAAACTGCCGTCCACTCCACAGCCAACCCATTGTCAGCAGTCCATCGGCTGAGTTTTTGCAAAAAACAGAATGCAGGGGCGTCCAGCGCATGACCCGAACACCACTACTTTTTACAACCCCTCTCCCCCCACTCCCACCCCCAAAAGAGAAACAAAGAACACCCAAATACCTGGAAACAGCTATGAGAATGATGTTTCCTGGTGTTTGGGTGTTTTTGGTTCTTTATGGGTGTTTCAAATTTTCAAACTGGGCGGCGGGCGCTTTTTTGTTTTGTGTTGTTTTTTTTTTTGGGGGGGGG